GTTTTGATTTGGGGGAGAGGGTTATTCACAATACAGATACTATAATCTGGCTAATAGGAATTAGATTTTGTGCTTTGAATTTATTCTATCTCAATGAAGCTCGTGAACTTAAAACATATCACTGGAGCTGGATAATTGAAGATGATATATATGCATATATTTACATACCATCAACATAAACCTATTTGAAGTTTTTTGAGATAAATTTTTGATTACTTCTGTGACCAAAATCAGAACCATTAAGGAATATGGTTGTTTCCAGTAAATAAAGCTTTGGAAGTTGACTCTGCTCATCAATGGAATCTATTTATTTATTAGAAGAATAACTTACCATTGATTTCTAAGTTAGGAGAGAAATGGAAATATTGAAAAGTTTGCAGAGGAAAAAATAAAAGCACAGAACAATTGAATATAAGAACACACATCTTGGAATGCCTCCAGTTTCTCTGCTGTAAGCAAGACAGTGCAAAGTAATTTCCACCCTGTCTCTAACCTGCTATGTATCCCACCAAACAAAATCTCAAGCTTTCCAAATAGAATGGGACTTGCTGCATTCTGGTCTGTCTGATCCTGGGTCTGCAACTACAGGGTGTGTCCAAGTGGTAACATTTCACCCAAGATAAGTGAATTATCTGTCTCCATCTTGCAGAGCAAATGAGCTGTGAAGATAGGCTCTTTGATGCACAGCAGTTTGTTTACAGCCTGTTGCTCTTTACTTTTAAAATTCAGTGTGGACATTCTATTTTCAGGTGTGGCTTTAAGATTACTATTTAAAGCTTTTATCAGGTTTCAAATGTGAATGATCACGTCCTATATAAGCACAGTCAAAAAACAGTGGCAGATAAGATAAATTGGACAATCTCCATTGTCCTTATTGTACTTTCTTTTAAAATCAAATATCCTGTAGGATTTTGTGTACAAATATATTAAGCTGATACTTTTTGCTTTAGCTCACTTAAATCTACTTTTTATTCATGGTTACTTATTATGTAGTAGAAATCCCATTGAAAGAAGGGCATCGTTTATTAGCATCAGTTTATTATAGTATTATATGCATAAGAGAAAATACACAAATGAAATTATTTAATTCTCTGCCATCACAACATATGACTAAATAAATCATTTTGGTTCAGAGTAGTTTTAGTAGATAGACTTCTATTTGTACCATCATCCTCCATAAGAAGTAAAATAAATAAATTCTGTTATAACTTAAGTAACATGTTGATGGCAACCTTACCTGTGTCCATTCATTAGCTTGTGGATCATAAGATTCCATAGTGTTGAGGTATGTTTGCCCATCATAACCACCAACAGCATATAACCTGTCACCAAGAAGACAGACTCCAACAGCATCTCTGGGCATACTCAAAGGAGCAACCATGGTCCATGTGTCTGTTTTTGGATCATACCTAAAGTTCAAGGACATGAGACATAAACTGTAATCACATTTAACTTTTATTCCTGAAAGAAAAATTTCTTAAAACATGCTCTAGAGAATTAATATTTGCCTTCAAGATAAATAATTTGGCCAGATGGGTGTTCTAGAACTAATATGCATGATATTTAACTTTCTAGAATCTAATGTGTTTCATAAATATACCTAGACTCTAAGACTGTTGTAAATTCATCTAATAAAAATTTAATGTCAATATTATCTTTTCCATAGCAAAATGAAGGTTTTGAAGTTGCAAATCAACTTCTATAATGTAAAGAAGCAAAAGAACTGGGTAAAACCCTAGGAGGGCCATGATTTCAACACTCAGGAGATGAAGCCTCCTGTGAACAGCTTATAAAAGTCAAACATACATTTTCTAAAAAGGAAAGGAATTTTTTGTACCAAAGAACTGCAGTTAAGCCTGACCTGGTAGTTCACTTCTGTAATTACAGCACTTGGGAAGAACAGGGAAGAAACCAGGAGTTTGCAACCTGCCTCTCTCACATGCCAATTTCTATGCCAACCTTGGCTACCTACTTGAAACACTGATTCAAAAACAAAACATGAAACTCAAGAACTAAAGTTTAAAAAAAAAATTGATCCAGCTTTGTGAAAATAAGTATTGAATGTGACAGAGGTGAAGAAGTATGAAAGGTCCAGGACAGAGTGAATTGTGGGATTCAGAGAAAGACCAGAGCTCAATGAATAAATCGACATGCACAAACAAACACTCCATAGGAAAGGAATGTCAGAAAGCATGGAACAGTATATCTAAGTTTGTCTTTGAAACTTGGAGACATTTTTAACATGAACAGAATAGTTATTTTCATGATATAGCTATCTTTGGGCCGTAAGGGACATATTCGTGAATCAGGTGCCTGAAACAAGTTAAGTCAATGTATTTAAATATCAGCAATCACAAAAGACTTAATTTTAAAAAATACCACACATTACACATATTACACATATATTTACATATGTGCATATATCTTTATAATGTTTAGAGTGACACAAAATTGTGGATTATTTTATCATGTTGATAATATAAATTAAACCATCTCTTTGCCTTTATTCTGAAATTTCTACTTGAGATACCAAACTGAAAGGTGGGCAGCACTCAAAGGGAAAATAAAATAGGGTAAAAGAAAATATCTTCTTCTAAACAAAGAAATTATGTTTATTTATTTTTATCCTCTTTTTATTTTATTATTTTTTATTTTATGTGTATGACTGTGTTACTTGCATGTGTGTAGGTGTACCCATGTCATGCAATGCCTCTGGAAATCAGAAGAAGGAGTTGAGTTGAATACCCTGGAACTGGAATTATGGACAGTTGTTTTCCTCCATATGTGTAGTGGGAATTGAACCTGGGTCCACTATAGAAACAGTCAGTAGTCTTAAGAGCTGAGCCATCTCTCCACCCCCTCTGTGTCATTTTTTAACCAATTGAAAATTCAATCAACAAACCTATAAAATAATATAAAAGCTTCAATTCATTGAAATAAAGCTGTCACTACATACGTGGAATTTATTTTGTAGAGAATATTCTTATTACTCAAGCTATTGCATACTTTCATGTTCAAGATTGGAGGCTTGTATGTAATCAGATTTGGGCTAGATGCCTCACAAAACTGAATCGCTATTAAACACATAGAAATTTGAAAAACATGTGACTTAAGTTAGCAAATGTAAAACATCACAAATAGAAACATGCACAAATCACTACATAAAACATCTCCTCAAACATTTTGAAATATAAAATATTAAAAAGTGAGGAGAATTAGAAGAGTAACCAAAGGCATCACAAACATGAACATAGCATGATCCAGAATCTAGGACATTTTAATAAGTAACTGTATGGGTCAATTTTAATCAATGACAATGAAAAATGACAAATAATAATTAAAAAATGAAGAGCACAAGGTAATGAATGGTCTTAAATTTTAAAAATGATTTATAATCCTGAGACTATGCCTTGTGATATCAGAATCCTGTTCAAAGAGTTCTTCCCTATACTGAAAAGTGCATTCCCCATCTTTTTCCTCTAGTAGTTTCAGCTTTTCTAGGAAGATCTTTGATCCATTTTAGTTGGTTATTTTTCAGGGTGAGAAATATAGTCCTCAGTTCATTCTTCTGCATTGGGGAAATGAAGTTTTTCTAGCAGTATTTGTTGAATAAAATGTGTTATTTCTCAAGTGTATATTCGTGATGACTTTGACAAAAATTATGTGGTCATAACTATGCAGATCTATCTCTGAATCCTCTAGAATGTATAAAGAACTGCAAAAATAAACACTCAGGACATAAAGCTCTCAATCAACAAATGAGTCAACAAAATGAACAGACAGCTGTTATAGAAATGTAACATTCTTAACATCAACAAAAAATGACAATAAATTTTGGCAAGGATGTGGGGAAAGAGGGAACCTTATTCGTTAAAAGTTAGAGTTTAAACTAGTGTAATCACTGTTGAAATCACTATGGAGGACTTGAAAAAAAGAATTACAAATACCATGTCATCCATATATACAACTCCTGAAAATAAAACCAAAATATTCTGATCCTAACACAGATATTGTTTATTGTTGTACTATTCACACAACCAAGTAGAAACAACTTAGGTGTCCACAAGTAGAAAAATGGATAACAAAAATGTGTCAGAAATAAAAATAGAATCTTACTCAATTGCTAAGAAAATGCAATCATCAGATTTGAGGAAAGAGGATCAAACTGGAAAATACTATATTTAGATAATCCAGTCTCAGAAAGACAAAATCACATGCTCTTTCCTACATGGGGATCATAACTTTAAGAGCTTGTATATATGTGTCTAAGGTACTGTGAGTAAAGATTATGAAACTAGATATAAAACAACTAGGGAGAGGGGAATAGATGTGCTAGGAAAGAGGAGGAGGGCAAAAGGCCACATGTGATGTGAAAGTGGAACACAGTTCCCCGGAGTGGGAGGCCGGTGGGAGAGATGGGAGAGAGAAACAACAAAAACAATTTTGTTGGAAAAATTCCAGAAGGATGCCCAATTCTTTGTGAGATACTAATTTTTCTTTATTTTTAGTTTATGTGTATGGCTGTTTACCCTGGATGTATGTAAGTGCATTTTCCATGAAGGAGCTGCTGGGAACTAAACCCCGGTCCTCACTCAGGAAATGCAGTAAGTGCTCTTAACTGCTGAGCCATCTCTACAGCCCCCTGTAAGCTCTATTTTTTAAAAACAGTATGAGTTAAGAAGATGTAATTTATATTCCTTACTTGCATCCAAATTCAAGAAAACAAGTATTAAAAGCTATTTGAAACCTTTTGGCAATTCAATAAAACAAAAGCATTAGTTTTAATAGGAAATTGTTGAATTTTTATAATGGGATAATATTGTGGCTATGTTAAAATCCCAACTGTTTTGTTTCTGAAATTAAATTAAAATGCTTTGAATGGAAACACATGTGAAAACGTCTTTAAATTTCAATAAGGGTGAAATCAGAGGGAAGAAAAATGGATGAACACTAATGTCACATTGGTGATGGCTGCAGACGCTGGTGATGTGGATGGGAGCCTACGGGAGGCTTCATAGGCTCAGAATTACCCAGTAGGCACCATCCTACTTCTCACATTCATGATTATACAGTGCTTTTTGTTTTTTATTGATTTCAGACCCCTTCAGAGTTACTTCATAGTCCGGGAAAATACCTGCCAAGTTTTAAAAAGAATAAGCGACTATAGAGTATATATCCCTGGATAGGACTCCCCTGTGTAACCTCACCCACACACTGGCTTAGGAACCATTGTGGAAGAGGGGGCAGAAAGATTATAAGAGCCAAGGTTGATTCATCAACACTGGGAAGCAGAGGCTTTCAGGTAACTGGAACCCTACACATGTGAACTCAGGGTAATGGTGGAATCAAGCACAGGACCCATGCGAACTCAATTGAACAAGGGCCCAAAAGGCAGGGAGAGAGATGGGAGGCAGGTGACCCTAGACTGAGAGCTGCTGGAGGCTGGTTGCTGCTGGACTGACTGGACTCCACTGGAAAAATTTGCACTGAAGAACATCTGGGTGCAAATGCTTGACTGGGTAGAACTTACCATGTTTGTGGGGGGGGAGGTGCATGGTGTGTGGTGGAATGATTAAGGGGCATGGATGTGCGAGTGGTCTGGGTTTGATTGAGATCTGTTCTATGAGAATACAGAAGCTCAACAGAAATTATTTATATTTATAAAAAGAAGTTAGTCTCAAAATGAATATCAATTTTGTTATTTTGTTTTCATCTTCAAAGAAGATGTAAGATGCTTAAGCATTTTGCAAAAAATTAACAATGAATTATATCAGTGTATTTTCCTTTTTTAGAAATTAAATTTAGTGTTAATTATTTTTAAGATTCTGATTGACCATCTACTTTAAAAATTAAAAATCAAAAATCTAGACAACAGTGGCAAGGGTAGCTTTTAGCATTTTGTCTGATGCCTTTCCTGCATCTCCACTTGGCCTTTCTAGTGAGAGTATGAGCTCTGTAGCAGAGTCTCTGTTAAAGTTTACAGGCCTCAGGCAAGAGAAGCACTAGTATTTAGTGGCTAAAATTGGCTATTAAATGAAAACTTGTTGAAGGCATGTACTAATCAAAGAACACAAGTTAGTTTCTCTTTGAAAATCCACACTTTTGAGGCAGCATTAATTTTTCAAGCTTCATTTTAATCTACATACTTTAAGGATATATTTGATACACAAATATTTAAAGGAAATGTGTTTTGAATATAAAACTATTATCAGATTAAAAAGAGGATATACATTTACTCAATATTTATACAGAACACGGAAATTGAATACAGAAGTCTTGCATTGCTAAATATGCTTATCTACAAAACAAAACAAACCAAACCAATAACAGAACAAAGAAACAAGAAAAGGAATGAAGATCCACACTGTGAGAATGGATTTGATGCTCTGAAGGGCACAGTTGTAAGTGT